TTGGATTTGGTAATGCTTTAATGTTCTTTGATTTTTTAAGTGGTGAAAGTTGCATTTTATTGGAATTTTAGTCAGTTATTAGACTAGAACCGTGTCTTTTTTAAAGCATAGTTATTCTGGCTTTGTCATATGATGAATTTGGATCAATGTGTTTGTATGTAAAAGGATCTGTTAGGATGCATGTCTTGAGTAATAGGTGTTAGGTCANTAGAACCGTGTCTTTTTTAAAGTATAGTTATTCTGGCTTTGTCATATGATGAATTTGGATCAATGTGTTTGTATGTAAAAGGATCTGTTAGGATGCATGTCTTGAGTAATAGGTGTTAGGTCATGATTCTCTAATCTTTAATGCTATTTAAATTTAAGCGGTGAACTTATACTCATTGGTGCTAGAAAAAAGGATGGCATACAACAAGTGAGATGATACAATCAGAATTACTCCAAGTGAGACAATTCATGCGCAAATATGCTCCTAATGAACCTATGCGTCAAAATATCAATGGCACCTCAACTGAACAGGTAACTCGAGTTTATAAGTTTTAGATATTTATACGAAATTTGAATCCTATAAAAGTATTGTTAACTAGTGTGTTAATATTTATCAGGTTCCTGACGCCAACAGTAGCCATGAACGAGTACCACAAACATCAAGGATACCTAGTGTTGCTGAAAATACTTTTCCTTCTCACGGTAATACTCATCTTTATCCTTCGGCGCTACTGTTTGTGTTTTCTACTGTTTGAGTGTATCTCCTTGATTTTTATTAATTTGTTGTTGTATTTGTGCTTTTCTTGGATGCTTCTTGCTTTTATATTGTCACGACCCAAAATCCAACTAGTCGTGATGGCACCTAACCCAACCCGTTAGGTAAGCCAATTACCAACTATCCAATTTCAATAATAATTATTAAAGCAATTTAAGTGAATAAATGTCTCAATCTTATATAATCCCCAAGAACTGGTAGTACAAATCATCAGCTTCTAAGAATAGAGTATACAAAGCGGAAATGAAATAAATACATAGTCTGTTTGAATAATACAAAAACATGGCTTTTATAAATCTAAGGCTACCCTGAACAAGAGGCAGCTACAACAGGAATGCGGGTACATCTTCAAATCCTGCAACCATCGAGCACAACAATAACAGCAGCCAACATCTACACGCAATGTGCAGAAGAGTAGTATCAGTACAACCGACCCCATGTACTGAGTAAGTAACAAACCTAGCCATAGGTTGAAAGTAGTGACGAGCTTCTACCAAGGTCGGGTCCATAAGCAATAGTCCACAACAGTCCATAACAACATAAAGCAAATAATACCAGAATTAACTCAGAGATAAAAT